TTGTAGTAGTTTCCTTTCCAAACTGATAAGAGCCAAGAATGGATGCTGTGTGGCATGGCAACACTGCAAGATTGTTCTCTTATCCCTCACTGTAGACTGAAAGCAGCAGATAGCTGAGAACAAAATGGCTTGCTTCACAACCTCCATGATAGCTTCCCACTCCTGACATAAAAGCACAGCCAAACATTTCTGCAGGAGTGCTGCACGTACATTTCTACATGTTTTTAGTTCGTCGGACATCATACCAGAGATTGTAATCATAGAGAATCAAAAGCAGCAAAGACAAAACTGAGATAATAAAACAGTTCTGAAAACCACAATTTCATCATCTTTACCCCAAAGAGTCTGGTAACTTTGAAAGGAAGCTGGATGTAAGAAAGAAAAGTCTAGTTTGAGGAGAGAAATTGTTTCCAACAGCCTTCACCACTTTTTCCCTAGTTATTAAGCAGTTCGCTGTACTTCCAAGAGCTGCCGTTCAGGAAAAGAATCTATGAAACAGAAAATCTGTTAGGTTATCTCTTTTCTAAAAAATCAGCAACATTTGCAAGCAGTTACCAGAGTGCTATGAAGATGCGACTATCTGAAAAACAGCATCAGTGACAATCAGATAGATGGAAGCTTACTTTCAGCTCTGCTAAGAGTTGCTCGGGTTTCTTTGCAGAGTTCTCTTCTGGTTGCAGAGAGAGACTGTAGCTGACTTTAGGGAGACAGAAAGGCAAAGAGCATTGTAACTGTTTCAGTTCGTGGTGTGATGGCTCACCAGCATCTCCACGCCTACCCAAGGGCATTTGTCACTTAGGTGCTGAGAATCATGGGTAAGTGCTCTTTCGCTCCCACCTTCAGCAAAGCAGGCCAGAAGACAGCTGTGTTTGGCATCTGGCTTCTACTTCTGTCCCGCTGACAGTGTCAATATGAGGTTGTTGAATCTAAGGCCTGCTGGAGCGAAAATGTCCATTCAAGCCTGTATCAATATGTTTTGAGAGAACGGCATGGAGCAGAGTCAGGTGAGGGACAAGTTGGGGGTCAGGGAAAGGTTTTTCACTGAAGGGTGGTGGGCATGGAGCAGGCTGCCCAGAGCTGTGGGCATGGCCCCGAGTGCTGGAGTTCAAGGGGTGTCTGGACGGCGCTCTCAGACATTGGGTTTGATTGTGGGTGGTGCTGTGTGGAGCCAGGGGTTGGACTTGATGATCATCTCTGTGAGTCCCTCCCAGTTTGGGACATTCTATGATTCTATAAATATTTGGTGTAGAGGTTAAAAAAAGAGTTAAGCTGGGAAAAAGATAGGCATGTAGCAGAGAACTGCCGTGTTCACCTCCAGGTCTCAGCTTATCTAATCCATAAGTCTTCTGATACTCTTCAGGCCTACTAATGATGGGATTCTCTCTAGTAAAATGAAAGAAAGTTTTTAATAGTGAGAAGACCTGCAAAAGAAAAAGGAAAGCTCTGAGTATATTACAAGATGGGCATTACTTTCTCTTGTCTTCCCCTCAGTACGTAGAATTAGGGGCAGAACAGGTTAGGGAGCCTTGAGATTCAGACCCTCAGAGATCAGGACCTGGATCCTCATTAGAGAGGCAGTTTTAATGTGGGAAGACAGAAGCAGCTCTGACAGATGGCTGGCTTTTACTGGCAAAAGTCACTTCAGCTTTGATGAATATAGGACATAACTCTGTATCTCATTTTAAAATTCTGGAAAAACTAGCTTATGTCTGTCACCGATTTAGGACAGGAAAAGTGATGAGGGAGTAGGGGGAGACAGTAAAGTTTGTGGCTCCCTAGCAGAGGTATTCGAAAATGTAAGAGACTGTCAGAGCAACACTTTGACAAGGAATTTTTTAAGCATTTCCTTACGAAGAACGTTAATGCTCAGTCTTCAGAAAAACCATGTGGAAATCTAATTGTTCACTGAGGATTTAGTATGTCAGACTGGCACTCTGAATCCAATAACTGGAGTGTGAAATAGAGGGATTACTGCCAATCTTGACACAAGTTCAGTTGAGGAGGCGTGTCAGATACCTGCCCCAGACTGAGGTTGCCTACCGCTTCCCATCTTGAGATTGTTTCCAGTTGTTTATAACATTGCCAGATGTTCAGTGTTCAGGCTGAAACTTTTCATGCCAGACGTCTGCTTCTAAATGATTTTAACAACTTTTGATTCAGTGGAACATGTTCCTGCCCATGGCAGGGGGAGTTGGAACTAGCTGTTCTTTATGACCCTTTCCAACCCAAACCATTCTCTGATTCTATGACTATATGGTGTGTTGTCTTAGTCAAAATAGTTTGACTATGGTTGAGGATGAACCTCCTTCTTTATCCATGCAAAAGCCTTTTCTGTCAATCTCATCTCTGTAAATGTCTAGCATTACCTTGTGGCTGACCACAATGTGAAGTTTGGACAGCTGAGGAACATTTGTTGGCATGGATATGCCTCCTGATATTTCTGCCACCCAAATGTAAGCACCCAAATGTAAGCAGCAGCTCACAGATGCTCAGCAGTGACTTTACAGGATTTAGCGGTTAAAATCTCTGCAGATGTGACTGGTGCTGACCTCACTGCAGCCTGGAGCTGAGCCTGAGCACATCTTTCCTCTCCTTCAAGCTCTTCCATTTAACATGGAAAAGAAGGGTGTCAGGGCTGAGTGTGGAAGGGAAAGAAGATGAACATTGGCAGAGGCATGTAAGACCTAGCCAAAGAGTGTGGGAGTGTTTGGGAAGACCTGAAGTAGTAACTGGAGTAAGGAGAAAGGTAAGCTTGTGAATGGTGAACAGATAGAGACAAAACTAAAGGCTTGGGAGGGAGGAGGGGACTGAAAACAGAGGGATTCAAGTAGGGCACTGAGATTACTGCTGAGAAATTGGGGCCACTCCTGAAAGTCAGAGAGAGGAAAAGGGTATCCTATGCCAGGGTGGGTGAATGGGGAGGAAGATGATGCACAGGTAGTGCAAAAAGGATCATGGTGGGGGAACCTATTCAAAGCATGAGAGGCACAAAAACATGGGCTGGGGAGCCAGTGGTGCTGGGACAGGGACAGGATCAAAATGGGGACAGAAAGAACTGGGACTGGCAGGCAGGGAATTACTGGGCTGAGTGTGCAGATGGGAAATGAAAGAGAATCCAGCACACAGAAGAGGATGTGGTTAGGAAAAGTGAAGTGCAGCAGAGATGCATGAGCAACTTGTAAGGATTTTAACTTTCATAATATTACTTAGGATCATTGTGGAAGGGGTAAATATAGTATTTAAATACTTAGTCACTGGAACTCTGTCACATGATACCACACTGACACCAGCTGATGGTTCAGACCATCAACAGATTTAAAGCTTGAAGTGACCTGGGCTGAGTTCAGTTGCTGTAACAATGGGTAAAGGGAAGAGGCTGCCAGTCTGCAACTCTTCCTGTGTCCCATTAAATTGTGCATTACCTACAGCCTGACCTCAGGGTTCCTATCCAGGCAGTATTGCTGTTGATCTGAAAGAACTTTTAGAAGATGTTATAAGTGACTATAACACATTATTTCTCACTTTACAAGTAAAATCTTAGGTGCAATTGGTAAGAATATGCATAATCCTCTGTACCATTAAACACTGTAACATGGAGGACTTTCTGCAGGGTATGTCCACGTATGCACATACACAAAAGCCCACAACATAAATGCCAAAGCAGCCCATAAATCTAATACACAATGTAAAACATTAAAACAAAAATAATCAGTGGCTTAGCCCAAAATCCTTGTCTATACAGAAAGAGCCAGAACAAGCAACGTAAAAAAAAAACCAACATCTTTTCCTTTTGGTAATCAGCAGCCAACATATGTAAAACACAGCTCCTTAAAGCGTGATCTATACCGTATCTTCTGATAGTCTTGGAAACTTAACAGTGACTTATCAGGCAGTGAAACATATAGAAGAATGAAGGCAATGTATATAAGAATGATTACAATGGTCTTACTGATTCCAAAGACTCGATTGTCAAGGTTGTAAATTAAAAGCTTGTGAACAGTGAGCAGGCAAAGGGGTGAGCCATTAGTCTCCCTGAAAGCACATCACTCACCACTGCTAAGTTCTTGTGCCGGCAACAGAAGTCTGCAATTAAGCACACAACTGAGCCTTTCTTTTCAGAACCACAGGTCAATATGCAGTGCAGTTCACAGGCTGGTGTGTGGTCATCTCTTGCAAGCAGAAGGTTTTTTGAAGTGAAAACAGAATATTAGCTTGTTTTGCTTTGTCAGTAAAAAACAAATAATTTGTTCTGGACCACACACTGAATTAATCATTTTTGGACACACTACACACGCAGAATCCTGTTCCAGTTTTTGTTCTTGTTTTTCTACACGATTGTCCTGGCTTTTCTCACATTGTCTCAGAAAATCAGATCTGAAAAATCCTACTACCAAGGTGAGACTTCAGCTTAAGTTTTCTTGCATGTATTATATTCCGAAGAAAGATTATTTTCCAGGCACTGTGTCCTACTATTACTAGTTGTAACTTATTGTAAAGTCTTGGACAACATCACTTACTATAAAACAAAAGAAGAATATTTGTGGCAAACAAGTGAGCAACTGGTGAACAAGTGTTTGTAGAGGAAGATTTTCAACACCCGGATACTTATTCCTGAAATTCTTAATAGCTGAAAGAAAAATAATTGCATTTGGAAAGTATTCTAAGTACTCTGATTTGCTTTTTGGTTTGTATTTTGTTTTTATCTTGCATGAGTGATAGAAGGAGTTCAATTAAAGAACAAAATATGTAACAAATAAGAATAACTAATACAAAGAGATGAAATACTAAGCAGTGAATACGTATTTAAATTCTTTATAGATTCTCTTATCTCTAGGGTTATTAAACTTCTGTTTAATCACCAACAATCACCAGAACAAAACAAAATAAACACAAACAAGCCCCTCATCAAAACAGCTAGAAACCTACCACCCTGCCCATGAGGTTTGTGTAATTCTGGCAATGTGGATTATTAACATTAGCAATAAATAAAGATCGCCTACCTTTACAGATCCATTCTCATAGTCAGATCCTTGCAGCAAATGCAGAAATGAAATCATGAAAATATTCACAGTCACCCACGGTTTGTACATTCTGATGTTTAATTCCGCAGGTTACTACGCAGTTGTTGTCATACAGCTGGAGGCGTCTCTTTTGAAATGCATTTCACCACAACAGACAAGAAAAGCTTCCAAATTTCTGTTATAAATTCGCAAAGGATTCCAACATGCGAGAGTAAATATCTTGCTCTTCACTCTTCTAAGCAATTATTTTGAACAATTCACCTAGAGACTGTAATTTCTTAGAGTAGATTTTAGATACATTCGAAAGAAAATCATGATAAGACTTTAAATAGATTGGTATCTGTATGCACGCAGCTACACTCTCACAAGTGATCAGGTACGGGTTCCAGTTAATGAAGTTACTGTATCTTCCATCAGGGCACAAAGAGGTATTCAAAATCCATCTGTGGTCCAGAAGATTTAAGCAGTCTGCTCTGTTCTGCGCTCTGTGCTACAGCAGCCTCTTCAGATGGTAGCGTAATGGCCAGTGTTTTGAGCTAGAGAGCTGTAATCCAACTCTGTATTAAAACTTTTTTTCACAACCTTCGTGGAAGCTTGCAGAAGCATGTGTCTTAAATCTGATACAGACTTTGGCAGCAACACAGCCAAATTTTGGCTCTAATCCCATTTTGTCCCTACCAATAGCATAGCAGTTTTAAAACTAACTGATGCAATCTAGACTCTCATTATTTTAAAGAAGATTACCTGAAACATGAAACTTCAGCTCACGTTCTTACACAGCACACATATTTTAAGTTACTTCTTGTAGAAAAGAGGGGGAGAAAACAGAGAAGAGAGAGAATGACTTTTTTCTTTTGTGTGTTCTTATGTGGGATAGTGTTTTCTGGATAGATTTTAAAAAGAAAAGTTAAAAACGATCTTTAGTAACAAATAGAATTTGATTTCTTTAATGAAAGCTCATGAAATCACAGACATAAAAGGAATCCATCTATTTTTCTTGCAGCAGAACAAAGTGTTGTTTCTGTCCCAAGATATAATAAAGATCTGCATACATTTCCTCTGTATATTTTCCCTGTTTAGTACCAAAGTGGAGACCAAAAATTTCTATTTATAACATAGACAAAGGTTCTGATAATTGTGTATGTTAAATCCATATTGTTATACTCTTGTGTAGTATTTTACATCCACAAGACCTTTCGCCACTCTCTCATGGCTTAAGGTTTGTGAATTAGATCCTACAGTCGTTACCATAAAACAATCCTTTAACTAAGATTTCAGAGCACTGGTTTCCTACCTCTGACTTCCAAGCAGTGGCTCTCTTAAACATAAGCCACGTCTATGTAACAACTAGCTTGCATAATTTCTTCCTAAGTATTCTTTACAAATGGAGATTGGAGAGAAAACTATTTGAATTCATTTCTTCCAGCTGTTGCCAGTTAACTGAGCTAGTATGTTTTTAAAAACATGGATGTTACTGCATTATTTTTAGCCTTGCTTTTTGCAATTTACTTTTTTTAAAGCAATCAGTTCCCCCTGTTCTAGCTGGTGGCTTTCACCATCCGTGGTTCATCTGGTTCATCCCTCTGCCATGGTTCGTATAAGGACAGCAGGAGTTTCCCCTTCTAAGCTGAGCTGGGTGAGTTCCCTTGCTCTGCGTACCTGCTTCTCCCCTCCTGCCTTGCCCACATACGCACTGCTGGCTGTGTTCACACTCCCTCACTGGCCCCACACCAACAGGGACATTCTGAGTAAGTGCTCATTGAAATACATCAACTATTTAACTTATCATTTTAAATGAACATATTTTTTCATGCTCATGTACAGTCACTTTGAGCTCTTTTAGTTTCTGCACTTCCCTTCTGATGCTGGTAGCCAACTGTTTGCAGGAACTGAAACTCTGTGGAACTAAAGTGATGCTTCTTAGCCTCAGGTGCACTACTTTAGCAGAAATAACCAAGCGAAATAATAGCACTACATCCTCAGAAATCCATGATAATAGCTCTCTACTGACCTGCAATTAAATAGAGGGGATACCTGGCCATCAGCATCTCTCATTTTATGGGAATCATTAATTGCACACAGACTCAGATTCCCAAGACATGCAGGAAGCAATATGCACTTCATGCCCCGAAGCCTGGTCACTGAGTATTACTTGTACAACTAATCTCCAGCACGATTCAGGGATGAACCTCTTGGTTCCCTTGGGAAGGTCAGTGCAAAATCCCACCTTTTCTTCAGACACCAGGGGTCCTGGAACAAGGCAGGACCTTTCCTCCAGGCAGCGGCCAGGATGCTGCTTCTCACACGGGCATCACCAATCCTCTGCCTAAGTGGGCAGATGGAAGGGATGACCCAGGCACAGCACAGAGTGTTTTGAATACCAGCTATGGAACTCGTCCTGCATCCATGAGGGCATTTAAACTGTTTTCATGAAGCAAAACTGCATGTGGGGATATAGAGAGAAAAGCTCTTCTGGTGATGCACTCTGCAAAGCAATGATGAGGGCACAGGTCTAAGGACAAGAGCATAGCTCAGCTCTCTACTCTAAATCAGGTTGAAAAGAGATGCGAACACAAGGACTCTCACACTCTCAGCCTCCTGCTGAGAGCTGCAGTGCCTTTTCCACCCCTGTGGTACCTCCAAAACTTACCTCAGGGACTCTTAGCAATCTAGCGCAAGAAGATCAACACTGTTTTGGAAACACTGGAGGGAAACACCTCAATAATGTTTTGTTTATGCTTTAGTTCATCACTGCTGTTTACCAAATTAAACTCTGAATTTCAAATAGTTTGGAAAGACTAAACTTATATCTTTCTGGAAGCAAAGTGTTTATAAGAGAAGGCTGTCCAGCACTGGCTCCAGTGGGCTTTTTGACATGAATGCTGAACAGAACTTCTGGCACTCAGTCAAACCCATTTACAAGAGCAAGTTAGATGCTGCAGGCAGAAGATAAAAAATACTTAATCTCTCCCTTAAGGCTTAGACGCAAAGACTAAAAGAGGAGAGGAAAAAAGAACTTTTCTAAACTGCAGTGGACTTCAAATCTAGCTCAAAGCTGTTAGCAAAAGCACTGACAAAACAAGAGGAGTCAGCTGATAAGACAACAAAGAAAGTCTGATGATGGCCTTTTGGGAACAGCTTCCTTTCCCATCCCTTTTGCTATTTCCCATTGTCTCCCATACAATTCAGGATTTGAACAGGGGCTCCATCTCCCATCTCCCCTCCATCTCCCATCTCCTTCCAGCACCATCTCAAGCCCACACAACTTTCTAATATTTTTTTTCTTCCTACTGCTGAACTGATAATGATTTAAGTGTTTTACAATGAAGCTAAAAACTCTGAATTATTTTGAGATTGTGCCTACAGATTGCCTGCAACAGCAGTGAACAAATTTGCTGAGCAATCAAACACCTTCAGGGGCTATGCCTTATGTTTTCTTTTAATATCCAAACTCAATACTGACAACATTCTAGTTTCTTTTACCTCCATTTGCTATTGTAAAACCACCTGCTCTGTTCTGTGCAGTCTCTGATTGTGTTTATTTATTTTTAACCTAGCACTGTATGAAGAAGCACTACAATAATATTCACATGACTGTTAGCATGATTCCACTTTGGTAGCTGAATGTGTAGTTCCATTGACACCAGCGATGCTAAATTCTGTTAGGTGAAATAAAACTTCATACTTTGCCACTTGTGGATAAAAAGCTGTGGGTCAGCTCTTTGCAGGAAGAACTTTAAAAAAATTTCTTAGTCTTTTCCATTGATCAGCATGGAAGACTCAAATGGACGAGCAATACAAGTGAAAACAAGTTTAAGTCTCTACTTACAAACATTACAGGTAATTTATAAAATATTATGGTAAGCTTATAAGTCTCTATTCCAAAGTAACAGCCTCACACTTCATAGAAACTCAGATTCATTGGTTCTTATAAACCATTTTTGTGATAGAAGATTACAGACAAACAAACCTGAAATTGGTAGATATCCCTAAGAGCAGATCAATCATATTTTGCTTATACTTACCTCTATTTTGTAAGATAGAATTTGTAGGTCAAGGACTAGGACTGCTTACCAATTTGCATTGCAATTTCTATTCTAAGGCTTCACGGTAAATAAACAGAAAAGAAACCAATACTGATGAATGGAACACACAAAAAATAGCACTATATTTGACTTCTACATTTCTTGCATACATACACACCCAAGGAATGGAAGAATTTCTTGCCAACATTGGACAATCCATGTTCTTCAAGCTGAAATTCTTTCATCTGATAAATTCCTTTGATTATCTGAAAATAACATATACCCACAGATAGGTCCAGACCTGCGTCTCTATTTGCAAGGCAACACTAATACAGAAACACCCAAAAAATGTCTTCACTGGAAGAAATGAAGCAAAGCATAAAAGGAAGATACAGACCTTTTAATACAAGAGTAAGTCATAAATCAGAAGGACTGCTCAAATGACAGACGGTTTGTGAGCATATGTCCTAAATAAACTCCATTAGATTGATCAGTCTCAGACTGAAAAGTTAAAATTCAAGTACAATAAAGAAAATTCAGTGCCTTTACTTCAGTGTTATTCCATCGGATACTTTGTACTTGAAAACTCTGCACCGTTTCAAGCCTCAGCATGGAGTAGTGTTCAGGGAACTAATGTAGTTCCCAGTGAACATTGTCAGGTGTTTATAAGATCATTCTATGAGTAGATCTGTACAGTATCTCTAAATAATCCACTCACAGAGGAATTTTTGGTTTTTTGGAAGTAGAAAAATTGGATCAGTTATATGAAATATTACCAACCAGAATCTTAACAGATTCAAGGTACAGCAATTTTAGGTCACTCAGTACTCATTACTTATTAAGTAGTTATTAAAAATATTTTTGAATAAATCAAAGTTTACTGTAACAGCTACTGGAACAACAAATTTCTGCCGAATTAGCAGAATGATTGGAAGATCACAGTAAATGACAAGCTGGATTGACAAAACTAATGGAGAAAAACACACAAAATCTGACAGCCAGGTGTGTGGCAAGCTGTGCTGGTGTGGATGTGGGGCAGCGCCCACCAGCCTGCCCCAGGACCAGCCCTGCACACCAAGAGCTTGATGCTGCCTCTCGTGAGGCTGAAAAACCAGTGGGCCACATGCCTGGGTGTCCACTGTGGGCCTCCACTGTGCTTCAGGCTGAGGTGGATGAACTGATGTCAGTAACCAATCTAGCTACATTAAAGATTGCTGGGGAATGCCTGCCCAAGCCACAAACACACCCATGGCTGAAGGGCAGAGGCTCTCAGCTTCAGCAAAAGTGAGCCACAACATCCACAGGTTCACCTCCCCACCATGCTATGCTGAAGCCAGCTTGGAGAAGGAATGCTGCTGCTAAATGCAAGCAGCGGCAGGAGAGCTGTCAACAACAGGCAGATAAAAAACCACAGACATGTTGGGTTCAGTGATGGACACACCTTTATATTGCTCTGTCTTTGAGAGGCTCTGTCCCAGTCTCACAAAGAGCACAGCTGCCCCATCACCTTTGTCTAGTTCATGTTTGTTACTCTCAGCGCCTGGAAGGATGGAAAACCATTGTGTGGAAAACTGTGATGAGC